TATTTTTTGTTTTTAAAAACATATTTTTTGTTACACCTAGCAGCCAGTAATAAATTGCTGTTGCTCTTAAATACATTAATAGCCTCTAAACATGGCAAATAAAGATTTAAGTAAACTCAAAGTTCATTTTTAATTAGTTTTGATGAAGCTTTATTCCTGTCGTCCCATCACTTTGCGTTCATAACAGAGAATACTCTTTCTGTAAATGCTGAAGTGGCCGGAACGGATAGCAAAAGTGACACTACTTTGAACAGATTTGAGAAATCAGGTATTTCCGTAATATTATTGTTGTAAAAATCCTCTGAATTTAGAATAATCGCTTACAAAATTACGTTATTTACTTGAGGCCTTAAATAAAGTATTTTTGCGTACTTAATGTGTCTTGTAAAATATAACGTACGCACAGTCGAAATAGAGTACAATACTTTATAATAAAGTACGGGTGGCAACCCTAGCGATGACCCTGATAGAGCAACTGGTACAATTTATTAACTTTTGAGTCAGAGACTTTTTTGTAATGGATTCGAAAAATCAAACTCATAGTTTTCAAGATTGCAATTTGGAAGTCACAATAGCACTGCTAGATAGTTTAGAGATGAAGTATAAATAGTAGTAACAATACGATCTGAAGAAAAAATAATTACATTCATTTTTCTGTTTAAACAAAAAGGAAAAAGAAGGGAAAATGTAGCCATACATCCATTTCTTGTCTATTATATTATTATACTGACGATTTAATTTGTCGTCGTTGTTATTACACTTATCTATAATTAACTGATGGCAAATATTTAAGAAACTTTCTAGAGTATTTTTGCTTATTAGTTAAATTAGACACACACGTACGTTAAATTTCACTTGACATGTAATTAACAATAACTTATCAAATTGAATTTCATACCTACATAGTATGCATCATCAACCCACCAGTGTACTTCTCTTAATAATTATTATGCATATTTTCGATAACAGTAATAATATTTTTGAGTCATTTTGGATTTCACTATACTACTTATGTATACAACTGGTAGTGGGAATCATATTGGTTATCAATTTCTAATTATTTGATAACGATATCATTAATTGATATTTGATATTCATACTCTTCAATAGGTACTACTATTCCTAAAAAGATCGTTTGTTACGACTTATTTTAGAAGTCCTTTTTGAATATAGGTGGTAGGCATGAACTATGATTTTAAATTAAAAAATAATTCCTTTATAGATTGGTTTTTTTTTTGACTTGAGATTAATTTAGTATTTATAAGATTTTTGTTGTTAATTTTTAATGATCTTTATGTTAAAATTGTTAGTGTTAGACTTAACAAAATGGTCTATTTTTATTTAGACAGTGGGAAACAAATGAAAATGAGATTTGAAAGTGGACACTTGGAATTTTATCAACCGTAACTACATAATTTTGTACTTTAAACAATATTTTTTTCCTTGTTTTTTTCTTATTTTCATGTGCATTGATAAATACGCTTGTAAATTTTGAATTAAAACTAAATAATTGTTCGCCATAGTTCAAAGCAGCAACTGCTACCACCAATTTTACGTTTCTTCTGTTTTTAATGTTATTTTGGGATGTTTATTTTCTTAACTTTTGTATATTGCATTTTGTATGTCGCGCCATGTATTGGTCCTGTCAGCGTCAGCACGCGCATCTTTCGCGAGGTATGAAACACTCAGCACATAACCTTGACTAAAATGTGTAATTATTGAACATTGAATGTAAACGATTGTTAAAAATTCGTTCCTGGAAACTTTCTTGTTTATGTTAATATGTGAGTCATCGCTAAAAGATAAAACTCGCATACATGTTATTTAACACGGTATTAGTTGTTTTCGGCAGACGTTTCTACAACGTTCTAATCGTAAGAGGTAAAACAATCCTAATTTACTAATACCTTCAATTATATTAACTTCATAAGGGAATTATAAGATACAAATACAACAGATTAAATAAAATCGGCGAAAATTCATTTTTTGCTTTTGATAATGATTTTACTTAATAACAACTTCATTAATTTTACTTTTTTTCTGTTGCAGCCTTATCCTTCCTGTTTCTGTCATCACTTTTCATTCACGAAAGCATGTCTCAATCAGCCGAAGTAACCAGTGCAAATTCCCAATTCGCTAACAAACTATTTCAACGACTTGTAAAGGACAATAATGAAAATGTATTTTTCTCTCCAATCAGTGTGCACACGATCCTTTCGCTAATTTATCAGGGTGCTAAGAACGACACACAGAAAGCATTAGCAGAAGTATTAAATGTTCCTGAAGCAAAGGCTACTGCTGACGGCTATAAAGCTGTGATGTCTGAATTGAATAATGTTGATAATGTGACTCTTCACATTGCCAATAAGATATGGGTAAAAGAAAATCTGAAATTGAAAAATTCTTTTCAAACCTTAGCAGTTGATAATTTTTTTGCCGAAGCAGAGCCAGCTGATTTTAATAAACCAGAAGCTTCAGCAGAATTGATAAATCAATGGGTTGAACAAAAGACTAATAATAAAATTAAAGAACTTATTCAAAAAGATATGATCAATGGCAATACCGCAATGGTACTAGTTAATGCCATTTACTTCAAAGGCAACTGGGCAAAGCAATTCAAGAAACATGCCACCATTAAACAACCATTCTATGTATCCAATGAAGAAACTGTTAATGTTGATATGATGCACATTGAAAGTAATTTCCGTTATGCAGAAGATAAGGACCTTGATGCAAAAATTTTAGAATTGCCTTACACTAATCAGGATGTTTCTATGTTGATTATTTTACCAAACAAAAAGGATGGAATTAATGAACTTCAGCAAAAAATTGTGACTAAAGATTTGACCTCACTGAGTAATAATTTAAGAAGCATTAAAGTTAATGTTGCCCTTCCCAAATTCAAGATTGAATCTACTATCAATCTCGTCCAAGTTTTGACTGATGTAAGTTAGTCTTTATATTTTATTGTAATAATTAACATGTCATTTAGACTTTTGTTGTAAAAAAAATTATAGTGGACACAATAGTGTGAATATGAAAAACAGCACTTATGCAATTAACAAAAAATATATACACAAATTAAGACAGTAACAAAATAGAATTTTTTGTCAAAGCAATTTGAAATTTTATCTTGTTTCTAAAATGTTTATATATAACTTCAGAAAAGTTAAGTTGTATTTTTCATTTTTGTAGTTGGGCCTGGGAATCATCTTTTCTAATGATGCAAACTTTGAAGATCTTTTGGATAACTCTGCACCACTGAAAGTTAGTGATGCCATTCAAAAAGCATTTATTGAAGTTAATGAAGAAGGAAGTGAAGCTGCAGCTGCGACTGGTAAGTGCTCATGTAATCAGTCTTTGGTGATGATGGGTTTGCAATCTTATGTGTAGATATATTTTCAATTAAATCGAAATACTAGACCAATTTAAAAAATTTGTAATGCTTACTTTTAAAATGTTTTAATACTAAAATGCTTATTTTATTTAATGGAAAATATATCTAGATTGTAGTTGGTAGATTCTGGTTTTTAAAGGTTTTGGGAAAGCTTTCTTTTTAACTCCATTTTTGGTGATAACATTATAGTTCCTGCAATGCTTTGAAAAGCTTAATGTTATCTATTGTTTAAAATATTTGCATTGTTTTTGTACATTTGTCATTACAAAAATAGGAACATTAAAGCAACCAATAAATATGCCAAACGTGACAGCTATAAACTGAAATATGCTTTAAAACCGGAAATATATAGTAAAAATATTAAATCCGGTTGTTACGAATTATTACTATATTATAGTGTTGATAGGTATTTTTAATATTCTCAAAATTAATTAAACTGACACCACGAAAAATACTGAAGAAAACTGTGGTAAGTAATAAACCAAAGGACTCTCCTAAATACTTTTTGAGAAAAGGTTTTGCTCACTAATGTGAGTGTCGGCATTTTCAACGCGAATACTAGGATGCATAGACATTTTTTCTTTTTTATTGTTTCTTTAATTGCAATATAAAATTCCTCTAATACCACACATAGGGTATGTTATATAAAAAAAAAACATTTAGATATTTTATGAGGAGTTATTTTTTACAATATTTTTACATGCACATGTACATACAAGTACCTACAAGAAATATTGCACAAAAGTTAAGTGTAAAATATTCTGTAACGTCTGTTTATACAAATAATTGTTACCTTGTGTTGTTTTGACGGTTGTGATTTCGTAACAGGTTTACTAAGGGGAAGGCGAGCAGCTCGATTAGAAGAATTCTACGCAAATTCACCTTTTCTTTTTTATAATATTTATAAAAATATTAACATTTTTCAAGGACGACTCTCAAAACCACCAACAAGTGAAAGTTTACACGAAGAACTCTAAAGTTATTGGATATATATATACTAAATGCCTACATTTAATGAGGAGACAAAAGTCTCCCTTTTGCTTTTATTTTATACTTATGACATTCCTTATTTTTTACAGTAGGTATTTCTTTCAAATGTACTTATTAAATGCTAGGAAGGTCTTCCTACCACCTAAATGCAGCATTTATTTGTTTCCTGACTTATGTTTGAAAGCTTTTCCTCGCTGGGCATTAAAATAACTGTGTTAAATACTGGGTGAAATTAATTTGTAACGTTTCGCTGAAAAACTTCTTGTTTACGTGTGTGACAGCATTTAATAGAATTTATCTGGAATACATTTTAGTATTTGAGGCAACGCTGTCTAAGGGATCTGATCTGATCAAAAAAATCAAAATACCTACGTGGTGGAGGAGATTTACAGTTCAATATGTTATCCTAATGTAGCCTAATTACATTCGTTGGTATTCTATCTCAATAATTGTTTTTATTATTTAGGCAGTCAGCCCTGGGATTCAAACATGAAATGTACTATTTGACAAGGGCCTAACTTAATTTTGTTCAAACCTTTTGAACAGGTGATTTATCGTTATAACAGTCTTCGTTCCTATACTACAATAGTTATGCTTTTTTACGAGGAGTTAGTCATTTTGCCGCTGCCTCAAATACTAACGTTCTGTCTTTATCTGTATTTTATGTTAAAAAATATAAAACACAAAAAGAAAATAGAAAACCTGTCACGTAATTTGTCTTTGTTCAGCTGCTGTTATGATGCTAAGGAGCATGCCAATGCCTCAAGAAACAATGCGATTTATCGCAGACCATCCATTTATTTTCTTCCTGAGTAAGAGACAAGATCTATCGTTAACACGTCTTTTCGAAGGAAGACTTTCAAAGCCCTTGCCTTAATTTCTGAAGACAGTATTTATAGCACAAATTTTTGCAGATTAGTTTATTATTTCTTTAGGTTTGCATTTTTCTAATTTTCTTATCTTACCGTTAAATTTTATCAAGATTCCAGTATTGTTGTAAGAAAATCTATTTTTTACATCTGCATCATTGCTTATATATTTATACTTTCATGTATTATCAAATGTACAAGTCATTTAATTTATTCTATAAATACAAATAAGTGTAAGCTTTAATTATACACAATTTGTTAATGTATACCAAATACCTAATTTGTTTACTTACCAAATAGATTGTTAGTAAAAAAAATAAATAACTGTCTATGCGATATTGTGATTTGCATTTGCATCTTATGTGTTGTTAATATTTAAATAATTCTTTAAAGAAAAAATAAAACAATTATCTAACTCACCTGACTCGTAATACGATTTACACGAATTACATTACCTCAAAACGTCAACATTTTAAACATATACCTAAAGCACAATTTTAAGTAAATAAAAGGTGCCTGAAGATATTTACGATATAAAGCTGCGTATAGACCAGTGCAACGAACAGCGTAATACAGAAGTTGCAAATAATGAATATGTTTATCTTTAGTAAATGTTAAATTAGAATTAAAAAATTCGTGGAGCTGACAAATATTTCCAATTTTTTTTTTAATCTTTATTTATTGGTTTCTCTTTTCTTCGTTGTGCACCTCTTATAGTTGACAAAGTTCGTTGGGTTGCCTAAATACTGTGCCATGTCGTGCACGTTATCCGTATTTACATTACTTTTTATTATAATTAATAATTTTATATCTTGCCATTTAATAATTGAACTTTATTAGCCAGCTCAGGAGCAAATTTCTGATATCATTAGATCTTATTGATATTTACTGTGAAGTTTGATATCCCATATTGTAATTTCTTTTAATTTCAGTTCAATTTTTGATTTTAACTAAACATTTAATAAGCAATTGTTCGACAACAGGAAATTCGAGAGAACACTTATTCATAACTTTAATTGCTGTTAGCATTAATAATTTGGATATTTTTAAGACTGTAGGAAAACTAATTTAACAAATTTTATATCAGATACAAGTATACAGCAGATTTTGTGGCACTAATTGAAATATTAATTTGTTTACTCTTCGAAATTTGAATTAAAATCAACTGTAGAAAATGAAATTGCCACAAACGCATCTGTATATTACTTTGCTTGCTTTGTTTATTCAGTTTCGTGGAAAAGAGAAAAGAGAAACTCGAAATATTTCTTATTAGTATTTAAATCTTTACAATGTTGTTGATTATCCTCTTACGATTTTTATGAATATTTAAATACCTTTTGGTCTCATTACTCGGAAAAAACTGAAAATTGTGCACGAGTCAATTGTTAACGTGAAAGATAAATGAAGCTTAATTATCGCTGCTTAAATATATAATATTCACTAGAAACGTATTTAATTCAATAGTAAATAGACAGTTTACGGTGAAATTGATGCACATTACAAGAATATTTAAAAACTTTTAAAATAGTATCC